TTCTTGTATGATCTTTTGAAAGGGCACACACTTGTCTAGTGTGCTTTTTTTGGTATCTGAGAATCCTGTTAATTGCTTCAAGGTGTTTCTCATAGGATGAATGCATAAATTGACTTGCTAAACTCTCATTAATATTATATCTGACCGTGTATGTGATAAGTATATTAATTTTTCCACCAAATTTTTATACCAAACTGTATTCACCAAATCACCTTCCTTTTCATCTCCCAGTTTTGGATTAGGATCAATTGAAGTGTCTGCAGGCCTACAATCACTCATCCTAGTTTCCTTTAGAAGATAAAAAACATGCTTTTGATGGGGAGTAACAATCTCTTTTTTTTATCTAGCAAACCTCCATGCCAAGAAAATACGTCAGAGATTTTAGGTCCTTGTCTGATGAGAGAGAAGTTTTCAAACGATTCATCCATATGCGTCATCTCCGGTGAGAATTATTTACGTTAACATATACAATTAGTATAACTTTATTCTTATCTTTTGAATGTTTAAAGAGCATTGTATGACATCCTTGCCCTTAAGTATACCCATGATTTTTAACAAACAAAGTAAATTTCACAAACGATGTTCTCCGTGATTGCTTCAACCCAAAGAAAGGTTTTTTTAGTTTTTACGTTGTTGTGTCAAACTTCTTGCTAAATGCTTAGTGCATCGATGTACACTTCTTCCCTTAAGCCCCCATTGAGATATGCATTTTTTATATCCAAAAATGGTTGGGGCCACTCAAGATTAGCTGAGGTGATGGAAGAACTCTTATAGTGTTTAGTTTTACGATTAAGGAGAATTTTTCTAAGTAATCAATACCATATGCCTGAATGACTCCCTTGGTAGCCAATGAGTCTTATACCATTCTAGAGTCGTCAAAATTATACTTGATTGTGAACACCCATTTGCATCTGACAGTTTTGGTCCCTCTAGGCGGATCAACAAATTCCCACGTGGTATTTTTTCCAGAGCTTTCATGATACCAGAGTTGACCTGAAGCTAATTAGAAAAAACTCATGTTAGTACTAAAAAAAATTGACGATTACAACCAAATACCCACGGAATGAGAAATTACAACAAAACACGATACAAAATCGAACTACGGCTCAATCTGGGGGTGGTGGATGTCGGTTAGTTGTTCACAAAGTGGTAATAGGAAGCTAAAATGCGATGTGTTGCTGCATAGCAAAACAAGTGATTGGAATTTCATTGGAGGTTAAGCGAAGGGCTTGAAACTTTAACAACAACCATGGAAAGGGCTCATAAAATGATGGTTAGCGAAGGGGAAGGGTTTTGAACTGTAGGACAACAAGAAGTGCTATCCCGGGCAACAATTGAAATAGTGAGGCGAGGGTGAGAACAGGGTCAGCGACAAAGGTGGAGGGTTGGGATTGCGAGGGCAGCGAAGAGGAAGGTGGGAAGGCAATGGCGGCATTTAGAATGATTGCGGAGGAGTTGAATAAGGAAAAATATCTCCTTCTGAAACGAGCTACAGTCGGAGCTTCTCTCGATCTCTTGAAAGTAGATCACCACCATAGAGAGTTACAGTGCAGACAACTGTCCTAACATAAACCACCATAAAAATGTCTTCTAAACCCTAATATAACACATATGTAGAAAATGACTAAAACTGAATGAAAGATAATAGAAAAAAAAACATAATAAAGGAAAACATGACTGTTTTGGCTGGTCGTCTCTCGTCTCGCATGATATTTAATCCTGAGGTGCTATAGCAGCTATAGTACCACAAATATTCTTTGCGGGAAAAGCTCCCGCATCATTTTATCTTCTTGAAGACAATCTCCTTCCACTTAAAAATTTTTAAGCATCCTACACAATATTAGGAATCTCCATACAAGACAAATATGAGGTATAAACCCAAAAAATTGGTGAGATTTTCATAGCACATAATGAGACAGTAGATGTTGGGTGCAAGTCCTCACCCTCTTATAAGTAATAATGAGAAAATTGGAATTAGATTTAAGCGTTGAGTTAGCCTAAGGTTTAGGACTATGTGGCTCAGAATTTGAAGTTTAAGTGAACTGATGATGGTGTAAGTGTTAAATGAGGACATTACTTTAGGGGTTCATGGATTTTGGGCGGTGCAAAGGATTCTTAGACTTTCTTTTGAGTTTTTTTTTTTATTGCTAGTAGACAATATCAAATGGTGCTAATATCGTAGTTCTTTTTGTCTATTTTCTCTTTGTTATTTATAAGTTTATGAACAATATGAGTTGACATTTTAGGAAGGTCTAATCGTCTTCAATATCTAAAAAACTCGACTCATTTTATATTGATACAGTATAAGCTGAATTTTCAGGTTAAATAGTCAAGTTTGGAAATACATTATTTTTTAAGACTTCGATTTGAAAAAAAATCCTGGAAAACAATAGTCGACTATTTGTTTTGCCCCCTTCCTGAACTTGAGATTGAAATTCAAAGAAATGTGACATTCAAGGTAACAAACATTTATTTAAAAATATGATTAAAACATTTATACTTCTTTTGGGTATCTAACAAACAATCATTTTTTAGCTTGAGGTTCAAGTTTTCCTTGTGACTCTGAGTATGAACAAATGTAATATACCCAAATAACTTTAAGGTAAATAAGATGAGAACTGATTGTTGGGTAACTTTTATGAAAAACATTAAAAGTTAGTTTAAAGTTAAAAAACTTTATTGGATGTTCTATTTATGAGAAATACATCATTAAGAATGACTTCACCCCAAATAATAATATCCCCTGATTTATATATGACAATTCCCAAACTACTTTAAATAAGTTTTTATTTTTTCTTTCAAACATACCATTTTGTTTTGTGGCGCCGACACGTGTTTTGTTAAACTATTATTTTTTTCGGAAAAAAATTGACCCATAATATTTTTGAAATATTCTCGGCAGTTATCACTCCATATTATTTGAATAGTTTTTTAAAACTGTGTTTCTATTATGCTGTAAAAGTTTATGAAAATTACTTTCAATTCAAAATTTTCCTTAATTAAAAATACCGATCTTAATTTTGTGTGATTATCAGTAAATGCCACAAATATTTTTTTTCCTGAATATGTAAGAGTTTTACAAGGACTCCCATATATCACTATGAATTAAAGTAAATGTAGTTAGTTTGTAAGTTTGGGGAGGAAAATAGACATGATAATGTTTAACAAACTGACAAATTTCACATTGAAAAGCGAACATTTTTATTCTAAATAAACTAGGAAACAAGTATTTTCAGTACTGAAAATTATGATGCCTTAACTTTTATTGTGATAACATATTATCATTGTCTTCGGAAGTAAAAACAAAATTTAAACATGTATTTTAACATTGTCTTTCAGGTCTAGTCCATCTTCAAAATAATAGAAGTCATTTTTATCGCTAGCATTGCTAATTATCATCTCAGTGATCAATTCTTGAACCTCACAATAAGAAGGTCGGAAATTGGCTTTGCACTGATGGTCAGGGGTAATCTTACTAATAGATAACAAGTTACAAGATAAATTAAGAACATGGATCACATCATGAAGAGTTAACAACGTAGTGAACCCGATAGTTCTTGTCCCGAAAATTACTCAGAGGGAACCATCGGTGATTTGACATCTTTATTACCTGCACAAGGTCTATGTGATGAGACCAATTTACAGAAACCAGTCATATGATTAGTTGCACCAGGATTAATTATTTAAGAAAGAATAGAATTATGAATAACTCCTAATAACACAGTAGCTTGAGAGATACTGTTTTGTACTATCAAGTAAGACGAAGTCAAGGATAAGTTTCGGATTGAAATAAATTTTGTTGTTGCTCTATGTGCTTTTTTGTGAAAGGGACTGAATCCATGTTTGTGAAAGGTTTAGTTTTTTCAGCAGTGGCTTCATAGGCTAAACTTTCACTTTTTATAAGTTATAGTCATGCTATGTTTTGATGTGATATGAAGTGTTTGGGTGGTATAAATGTAAAGGTGAAGTTTAGATGTTAGATGTGTAGATACATAAGAATTATGTGTTATGTATTTAAATGCTCCTTTTTTTCCTCTAATTTTGTCTGTGAGCCAGAAGCATTGGCAATCCTATCACTTTTTGTTTTTTTGCTTCAATGCCAGTTGTAGCCTTACCCATCATTTAATAATTTCCAAATTCAATGCCCAGGAGCTTTTTCTTCGCTCTTGTTTGCCACGTAGCTTTGTTCATTTTCCTAGATTCTTGATGTGCTAAACTATCTCTTCTTTACCTCCACCCCATACTGTTCTTTCCATGTTGGTCTCCTGCTACCCTATTCCAATTTTGTAAACCATTTTGCTGTTTACTCGCATCTTTAATTTTCCTACCACCAATAATCCTGATTATTCATTTGATCACCCAATTGTCCCGAGTAATTTTAAATGCATTATTTGTTAACATTTTTTTCGCCAGGAGACTCCCTTGACTGATCCTGTTTTTGAATTGAATCACAATGAAGAATTCTGGCATGAGAAGTAATTATCCTACTAGAGGATACTCTGTTAGCTTAATTTTCTTCTGATGGCAGCCATCTTGTTAATTCAAATTAGATATGGTTAGTCCTTATTATAAACTCATTAGTTTGGAAATCATTTTTTTTTGGTGTAATTGCACTTGATTATTATGATATTATGTAATTTGTCCTTTTTTTGAGTCCTTTAATTTAAAAAAATCTCACGGAGCACTTTAGTCATTTGATTTTCTGGCTAAACAACCGAAATAGGTAATCTATGGTTAATTTGGGTTAATTAAAACAAATTTACTGCTGTGAAATTTCATCTAAACAAAGTTCTTTCTTCACTTTATGAAGGGTCCCATTGTTTGAAGCCGTGCTTGGTAGCAATCTAGGTTCCACTATTCAACCACATCCTTTGTTTTCTTTTTTCCCTGCCACTCCGGCTCACATAACTACATTATAGGTGAAATCTGCCCTGAATGGAAATAACACTTAATTGGACTGTTTAGCATTCAGAGATTCTTATATGCTGAGTCTTTTTCAGGCATTCCTAAGCGTGAACATCACAACAGTTCAGGTAATTCCATGGCAAACAGGCATAAACTATCTGATGACAGAGACAGGAAGTATCATGAAAAGGAACCTGTGAAGGATCCTGGCCATAGTCATTCTACCAGAGGGAGTGATTCTTACAGATATTCTGATAAGAAAACTAGTCGAAGCTCTGCTAACTACCAGCACAGTGATGATGGAGGCTACCATAGGCTTGCCAATGATGAAGACAGAGATTCTAACTGGTATTCAAAGGATGGCAGGGAATTAAGAAGTGGCCGTCTTGATTTTGCCAAGCATAATGACAGTTCTGAGAGGTTCAAAGAAATTAGTCGAAATCCAGATAGAAATGTTGAAAGGTACGACTCTAGAGAAAAATATGAGAATTCTGGACACAGAAGTAGAGGCAAGGATAGAGAAGAGAATGCTCCTGATCATAGGTATAATGAGATAGAATCTTCGAGAGCTGCCATTGGGAGCAGACAAATGAACTCAAGAAGAGATAATAAAAGGGGAGATGAGCGGGATAGCCTTAGAGAAAGAGATGATAGAGATGAGAGAAGAATGCACCACCGAAGCCCAAGTGATTGCAGGAAAGAATATGTGTCCAGTCTTGATGACAGTAGAGGACATGCCAAGGATTCCTTTTCAGGAAGGGAAAGTGCTGTGTATCGACAGAGAGAAAGTCAGAGAAAAGAAGTTGATGAGCAGGATTATCAGGTACAGAAGAGGAGATACAATGATAAGGACACCAGAAGATACGAGGAGAAATACCCTCTAGATCATGATAAAAATAGGACGGAGAAAAGTGATAGTTATCTTGATAAAAACTCTAAAGCAACTGAGGAGCAAAATTCTTCATCAAAAAGGTTGAAGTCAGGGGAATCAGATAAGTGTATGTGTGGCATCTTGGAACTCTTTTTTTTTTTTTTTCTTAATTGTATTTTATCACATAAAATTTCTTAAATTGTAACTGCTGTTGACTATTCTAGTTTTATTTCAGTTCCACGAAGTATGGCGGAAGGAAAATCGTCAACAAGTTCAAATCAACTTAATGATGGGAAGGAGAAGTTCACGTTTGGGCAGACTAGCTCAGCCAATAACCATGCTGAACCTGCTCAAGATTTTAATGCAGCAAAAGTTGCTGCTATGAAAGCTGCGGAGTTAGGTGTGCACAGTTTTACTAATTCTTTTTAACCACCGAAGTTGAAATGTACAATTTTTTATGACGTATTTTCTCTTGTTACCGCCGTTAGGCGTTGCAAGTTTGTATTTCCTTAGAACGGCTTCTTAGAAAAAATGATTTAGTTCTGTTATGCGCTGAAGAAGCTATGTCAATATTTTGGATATCTATATCATTTAACCTTGTAGCTGGTTACTACGAATTCTTAGACTTCATTTGGTATGACAGTATAAATGATATGGTTTTGCTATCCTAAATAAAATTAAAAAAAACATTTTAAATCCAACCACTTTTATAATTAATTATACACGGAAAATAGTATATTTTTTTCAAGCCTAATTTTCTTGTAAATTAAGTAAAATTAACCTAAAAAAAGTGAACAAAACAAATCCTAAACCGTGGATTAGCTACATAGTCTTATAATAGTCAAAAGGTTGACAAATTTTGGCCCACATCTATTTTTACCGTTTCCCACGTAACTTGAGCACAAAGTTGTATTGAAATTTTTTTTAAAAAAAGGAATAAATATTTTATAGATTGAAAAACAGCTCATATTTCCTAATTCCAAATCATACATATCTCGTTGCTTGGAGAAATCATTGGTGATGAATATGCAAGTGCAACTATAATATAAATATTTATTAATTCAATTTTAAGTTGTGGTCATAATTTTCATAAAAATTAATGAAAATGTTTTCCTCCTTGTTTTTGACATTTTTCATATTATTGGTGACTATTATTTTTAGAGCCAGTGATGAATTGTGGAAGCTTGACAGGCTTATTTATGCAGTGTGGGTAAAGGCACATTGGATGTTGACTTGGCTAAATACATTTTGGGTGGAATTAGGCTCCTCTTGTGAGTAACCATTGTGACTTGAGAATTTCATCTGCAAGTGTATACTTCAATGGGGTTGATTAGGTCAACTTTTTTTTGGAATTGGGGGAAACAAAGTTGTCTTTATTCGGGGTTAATTCTTACATTTTGAAGTTGAAGTATGAGATGATTAGTGATTTATCATGTTCTAATTATTTCAGGTTTGTTATCTTATCAGTGCACAAATCAATTATACTACTTCACCTATTTGGAGGATACACCTCAAATTCTTTTGGTCTAATCTCGAATTAAATCGACCCAATTTTGATTTGAGATTGATATACTTATTAATATTGCATTTAACTTGCCCATGTATTGAGGTGCAATAGGGATCATCAGCAAGTCTAATGGTGAACATCCATGCATGTGGGGCATGGCCCTCATTATTCCTAGTTATTCATCAGTTTTGACCTGTGGCTCCTGTAATGAGTATTTTGGGAGAAAAGTTGTCAAACTATTGAAGCATATCACCTAAGATCTAATATTTACTCACCAAAGTCCTTAGGGAATTGCCTCAACAAGAAAGACAGACATTTTTGAATCCTCTTTACAATTTTAAAATATGGTAGTCCAACTCGGAGAAGATAATGAATTGAAGGAACTAAATTTTCTTGAAGCAAGTGTGTTTGATTCTCTAATGATAATGCAAACTAGTGCTTAAATTTGGGAAATAGCTTCAAGACATCAAGCTAATTCTGTGAAAATGAAAGGAAGATAATTAGTAGAATTTTCATTTGAGTGATTAATTTTAATTGAGATGTGACATGGTGTTCCCTTCCGACTAGTACAAAAGCCCACTATCCAGTGCGAAGATGTCCTCCCTCTATCAAATAAGCCTTTGTTCATATCGAAAGGAGTGGATGTAGTCCTTTATTCTAGATATGAAATATGGTGGCATAACACCACATTTATGAAAGTAATGTTATCAAGGAATCTTTTGGAGACACTTGTTACAGTTATCTTAGAATACTTTGTTGTGTAGAGCATGATTTATGCCATTTATGTTTAAAATGCCTAGCATCACCTTATTCGATGGTGACCTCCAACTAAGCACAACCAAATACAACCCATCTCTCGATCACATTGTGGCAAGCAACATTGGAGTGAATGTGATTTTGATTGAACTCATTTCCTTGGTTAGCTCTACTAGTGTGAGAGTATTACCATTGCATCTCAACATCTTGCTTCTTGGCAGGATCAAGCTCTTGTATGGGTATGAAAAGCAAGGGCTAAATTCATGTCTTTTACCCTCCCACACAAATTAAAGAGGCTCTACATAAAGACAAACATTTGATCAAAGGTGGCATGCAATTCCTTATGATTCTTGTAGTTGTGATCTAGAATGATGTGAAACACATTGTGTCAAATCAGCCTACTTTTTACACCTGTCCATAGTTGCAACAAATTTTGAAGCCCACTATATATAAGCTAAAATGGTAAATAAGAGGTCAGAAGAAAAATTAAGATACTCGATCATCTCTATGATTATAATGGCTACATACTTTCGCTCATTGTTTCTTACATGTAGAGTGACACTAAAGATGAAGGGAATGAAGACCGTTCTTTCTTTCCACCCAAAGGTGTTTGTAAGCCTTCAATAGAAATGTACGATTATAAATATAGAGCCTCTCTTCATGAATGCAAGGGCATTTATCTTGTTGTCGGGGCTAGCTAGCTCGGACTTTGAGATGTCGTTGCAATTTTTCATGTGCATGCAAAATATGGCACTCGATAGGATGCAATGGAGAAAAAAGATTCATGTAGCCGACCCCACTTAGTGGGATAAAGGCTTGTTGTTGTTGTTGTTGTTGTTGTTGTTGTTGTTGTATGCATAATAAACATATTTTAGAATCAACAACTTTAAAGAACTAAATAATTCTATTTTTTTATTCAGAAAAATGGCACAACTGCAAACTCTATTCCATTAGTTCAAAGGATCCCATAATTAAAATGTATTTGCTTGTATGATGCTTCTTTGACTTAATAAGAACACGGTTGGTGGTGGTTCCTCTCTACTTCTCTTGTTCTAATGAGCTTGATCCACACTTATAAGTTTATACTCTAACAAAGTCAAGGGAGGGATGGCTACTTCGTAAATTGTGAATGTGAGGCGGTTTTGAGATGCTTTTAGGTTTTTGAGCATGACAATTACAATACTAACGGTTTCAGATTCTTTCAACTATGCAGTGTTTAGGTAAAGCAGTGCTATATGATGAATCAAAATGTCTCCATAAACAACTTTACTGACATTGGCTATAGGCAAAACTCACATACAGACTAGTGCACTAAAATAATGGTATCCTTAACAAGCTTGATGATTACCCTTGACTCAACTATGTCAAGGAGTTGCACCAAATGACCTTGTTATGGAATTGAAGTTGTGAACATAAAGAACACTTCATTTGGTCATAGGCTAAGATGCTAAGCTTGGTCTTTGAATTGATAATTTATAAAGTTGCCATCAACCCTAAGGACCATTGATCAAAAAATTGCCAAGGCACATGTCTTTAATAAAAGAGAAGGTGATTGTTGAAATCAATAAGCGAATTGAAGTATGTTGCCCCCTTAATAGAAACTGTATTATTAGAACAACGACTATAGTTTTCTTGAAGTGAAAGAGCAAGCACATGCTCATCTATATTGACCTTTAGGTTTAATCAGAACATGTCTATAGAACTACTTCTTGCTCCTCATTAATGATTGATAATGTCAATACCATGACATTCTCATTTAATCTTCTATTGATTAGTCATTTTTCTATAATCCAATCATAGAAGATGAAAATCACATATTTTTTCATGCAAGTCAATATACAATGCCTTTTACTAATGAGAATTATCTTATGAGATATTTATCCGGCTATATATAGTGTGAGGTAAGCGGTTCAACTGACTTCTTGTGTGGCTTATAAGAAAGACATGCTACAATAAAATTTTGTTCTTAGGCTTAAAAGACATTACGGGCTTTCTTCTATAAGGATTTGAACCTTACTTTTGGACATTACGGGCTTTCTTCTAAAAGGATTTGAACTTTACTTTTGACGAATTGATAATTCAGGTACAAGAATGCCATGCTGGCATTAAATTCAATGGAAAGATGAGCCTTGTGAAATGTACTTTTTGGGTTTCCTCTTCTAGTTTGTGGTGCTTCATTGGGGGCATTATTTCTAACCTCACCAAAATTGAGGCCATTATGAAGACGCCTTTTCAATAATTCTAGGTTAGCTTTGCTCTTTATTTGGCAAGTTTGAGTAAATTATACAGTTCAAGTTATATCTCTTTGGGAGATTTAGTTCTTTTTGAAGCTGATGAATAATGCTTTATTCATTTAAGATGAGGCTTACCATTAAGATTTTTACAAAATTGAACAATATTTGTTTTGCCCCTTTAATCCTAATAGTGCCAGATTTAAGAGTGGCAATTCTTTATATAATAGCATGATGAGGTTAGTTGGGGGAGGAATAGTGGTTTTGGGTTGTCTTAGAACGGTAAGTGGAAGAGGTTGTCCTCTATTATTATCAATTAGGGGATTATGGGAGTGCATACTAATAACAACTGAAGAACACTAATGTCCATCGTTGTTGTTCATAAGCATTTCTTTTGCATGTTGGCTTGTAAGATGATACTGCCATTAGAGCTAGGCATGCTTAAAATTCTGAGAACCACGCCTGTGTTGATCAATTGCCTTGCCGAGTGGATGGTGTTCCTCCTAAAATTTGACTTGTATCTCACAGGAGGTTATGAAATGGCAACTTTGGGTGGTCTTGGGAGTTGCATGTGCAATTCTCACACCTCATAACATGATCTACTGAACCAATAACTTAAGAAGAAGGGCGAGTCTCTTATAGCTATAATTTGATAAAGAATCATCCATGTTGTCTCATAACAGTGCGGGGAACAGAAGATCCCCTATTATTATCAATTAGAGACTAGTGGATGTGGAAATCAATTATTCTCCAATGGAAGAACATTTTCTAGTGTTTATCATTGCTGTTCATAACCTTCTCCTTTGCATGGTAACTTATTGATAATATTGTTATTAGATGTAGATACGCTTAAAATTTTAAAAAATAGATCAGTGTTGATCAATTGTCTTGCTACTAAATTTAATC